CACAGAAGAACTATACAAAAAAGATCTTTATGACCCAGATAACCATGTGGAGTGATCACACACCTAGAGCCAGACATTCTGGAATGTGAAGTCAAGTGGGCCTTAGGAAGCATCACTACAAATACAGCTAGTGGGGGTGATGGAATTCCAGTTGAGCTATCTCAGATCCTAAAAGATGATGCTGGCAAAGTGCTGCACTCAATATGCCAGCAAATTTGGAAAACTCAGCAGTGGCCACAAGACTAGAAAAGGTCAGTTTTCAAACTACTGCACAACTGCACTCATCACACACGCTAGCAAAGTAATGCTCGAAATTCTCCAAGCCACGCTTCAACGGTATGTGAATCCTGAACTTCCAGAGGTTCAAGTTGGATTTAGAAAAGGCAAAGGAAACACAGATCAAACTGCCAACATNGGAAATCAGTTCCGAATATTCTTTGGAAGGACTGATGTTGAAGCTGAAACTCCAATACTTTGGCCACCTGATGTGAGGAACTGACTCACTGGAAAAGACCTTGATGCTGGGAAAGATTGAAGGCAGGAGGAGAAGTGGATGACAGAGGATGAGATGGTTGGATGGCATCACTGACTCAATGGACATGAGTTTGAGCAAGCTCCAGGAGTTGGTGATGGACAGGGAAGCCTGGCGTGCTGCAGTCCATGAAGCCTCAAAGGGTCAGACACGACTGAGTGACTGAAATGAAATGAGTGAACCTATTGGAATCAAACTTTTAAAAATCACCTTTTGGTGCCCTTGACATTATCTGGCAGAATTCACGCTTCAGGCAAAGCTTTGGCCAGATGAAATGTTAATCAATGTTTTACGCACCTCGTCAGTGTTGTCCACTGGGGCCTAGGAAATCCTGCTGACACGAGTGTAGATTAGTTGCAATGAATCAGATTTAACAGCCTTCTTAACCATCATGCTTTCCTTTCTTGTTCTGCTTCCTGTCATACAGCTTTTAGGCTACTCCCCCTATAAGCTCCATGCCCTTCACACATGTCATAGCTACTCTTCAAAACAAGATCTCAACCTATTGTTTTAGATGTTTTATAATGCATGCCTACCTGGATACTTATGGATAACATATGCTTACTGCCAGAATATTTCTAACCTTGTCTATGTGTAAGATTGATAAACAAATTTTTAAACTGTTAAGCTCTATTTAAAAGGTCGCAGTCAAATTTAATTCAATAATTCTAAATGCAAGAAGATTAAGAAGGATGACTTTGATCAGAGGTCAAAGAAAACACAATGATGCAACAGCAGAATAAAGTCTTCCCACCCATGTATTCTAGTTTCCCTGGTGGCTCAGTTGGTAAAGAGTCTGCCTGCAATGCTAGAGACACGGGTTTGATCCATGGGTTGGGAAGATGCCCTGGAGAAGGAAATGGCAACCCACTCCAATATTCTTGCCTGAGAAATCTCATGGGCAGAGGAGTCTGGTGGGCTACAATCCATGGGGGTCTCAAGAGTCAGACATGACTTAGTGACTAAACCACCACCACCCATGTATTCATCAGCTTTTCTGCCTGAATCTGCAGCAGGGGGCCCACCTTCAGAGGTCAGAAAGTGATTTAGTCTTCCACCCTAATTTTCTTTTTTATCTCAGGCCAGGTTACTGTTAACCATACTGATTAATTCCAAATGTTATGGTTGGGGGTAGATAGAAGATTGAGTGATGAGAAACCAACCAAAATAAGGGTAGCTTCCTCCCGTAATGGCTGCCTCCTATCAGCAGAGAGAATCTTGGACAAAGAAATGAATGGCATGTTTAAAAAGTGAAAGTAGGTACAAGAGTTTTCCTTCTATCCATGGCAGTTTTCATTAGTGTTATTATTAAATTGTTTCTTAATTCAACCATAAATATTATTAAACTTCCTAATCCATAACTTAATTTCATATTGGGCTTTTCTTGGGATGCCTTAGATATGGGCTTTTTTTGGGGGTTAATCCTACAAAGAAATTGATTCTGGGTGACTTCAGAAGTGATATCTTAATAGGAAATGGCCAGACACATTACTTAATTTTTAGAAGTTTCATTTACTAATGTGAACAAGTGTGATAATGACAGTTGACTTAGTCTATGCCAATTCTTTTGAGGGATAATTTACTTGATGCCTACTACCCTGCAGAATTTGTATTGGGTGAGAATATTCACTAGCAGTGGCTGGAAATCTCATTATGTGAAGAATAACTGAATGAACTAGAGAAAGGAAAACTATTTTCAGTAAAAGTCAAAGACCTCCCAGCGATCTTCTTCTTTTTGACTTCTGACTTCATCTTTTACCATTCTTCACCTTGCTTACTCTGCTTCAGCCACACGGCCCCCTCTACTGTTCACTGAACAGACCAGGAGAGCTCCTACGGGATCCCTCCTCTTTTTCTTTGGACATGCTCTCCTCCTACAGATATGAATGGTTACCTCCTCTCTTTATGTCTTTGCCCAAAATTTCTCTTGCTCAGTAATGCCAGTCCTAACTTGCCTTCTAAAACTGCCCTCGTGCCCACCCCCAGGACTCCTGCTGTCTCTTCATGTCACAGGTTTTAATGCCAGCTAACATACACTCACGTATGGACTATGGAGAAAGCTGAGCGCTGAAGAATTGATGCTTTTGAACTGTGGTGTTGGAGAAGACTCTTGAGAGTCCCTTGGACTGCAAGGAGATCCAACCAGTCCATCCTAAAGGAGATCAGTCCTGGGTGTTCATTGGAAGGACTGATGCTGAAGCTGAAACTCCAATACTTTGGCCACCTGATGGGAAGAGCTGACTCATTGGAAAAGACCCTGATGCTGGGAGGGATTGGGGGCAGGCGGAGAAGGGGACGACAGAGGATGAGATGGTTGGATGGCATCACTGACTCGATGGGCATGAGTCTGAGTAAACTCCGGGAGTTTGTGATGGACAGGGAGGCCTGGCGTGCTGCAATTCATGGGGTTGCAAAGAGTCAGACACGACTGAGCAACTGAACTGAACTGAATTGAATATACACTATGTTTTAGCTATTTATTACATTCACTGATATTGTCTCCTTACCCCTGCTGGAATGTAAGCCTCTCAAGAACAAGCATCTTTGTCTTTTGGTTCACTACATATCCCAATAGAAAAGTACCTGGCACATAATATTCAATAGAATTTTTGTTGAAGGAGCAAATAAAACATATAAGGAACAGGTAATTGTGTAGATCAGTGGAATACTCCAGATGGCAGGACTAGAATTTATGGACATACATAAATGAGGCAGATCTGGGTTTAACACAGGAACTACTTACCAAACTTGGAAAGAGTTTTCCAACTTTGTCATGTAATCAAATCACCTACAGAGCGTTAAAAATGACAGCTCCTGGATCCCAGAACTACTGAAGCAGAAACGTCTGCAATCATCAAAGACTGCTTGTTTTATACCCAAGTTCAAGAACCATTGTCCTAGACTCTCAATCACTCAAATATTCAAGTAGAGACCGAAAGGTCATGTGTTAAGGAAAAAAATGTTTATATGTTCACTGCAGATAAAAGCTGGACTTAAAAATTCTGTGATTTTATCAAATTCATTTCAAGATGGATTAATATATTTTGTGCTGTATTATTTAGCACAAATATATTAATTATTATTATTTAGAAAAATTAACCTTTCCTTTCAATCAGGCTCTTCTCTGGAGTTAGGATGTATAGCTCTCACAAGGAAAGGAAACACAGCTCTATGGAGAACCTCATATTATTTAACATTTAACTCTTCTGTGGAATTCTCATTACACCTAAGAATGTAGGTGGAAATTTCTAGTTATTTTGGAAGATGTTATTATTTCATTTAATGAAGGTAACTGCAATTTACCCCTAATAATGTTTAGAATCGTAAGAGGCCTTCTGAATAAGCAGCCCATGAGATAACCATAATTCAAAAGAAGATCAAACTGGGGTTAACAATATGTAACTGAAAAGAATTCTAACTTGACGTTCAATATTAAGTCGAATATTCTCTTTTTATAGAGAATATAATGTGTAACAAATGTGTAATAATGTGTAACAAATATTTTCACTATGAAGTAAATAAATCAATTTCAGAAAAATGCAAGTTGCCTTTTAAACGGTGGTTGTTTTAGGTATGAATAAAGTGAAATTGAATCCAGAATGACAAAGCAAAAACAAAGAACAACTGGAGAAATCAAACAGCACACATCGGACTTACCGGAAACAAACTCCTGCTCCCGCAAGCCTGGCATCCATGTGCTTTGCCCTCTGGCTGGCTCAAAGATTCAGAAGGTTTGTATTTCAACTCTCTAGTTAGATATAATCACCTAGATGGGATTTCTTTGCATTCACAACTGTCTGCAAATGGGTTTTTTTGCTTTAGGGTAGAAAGATCATTGGAACTAATTATGCTTCCCATTATGGCATAAATTTGAGTAGGGAAATAACTGAAAAATAATTGAGCATTATGGGGAAAAACAGTCCCCATTCACAGAAGCCTGTTCTGAGTAGCATAATCTTGCCGAATTCTTTGAAGATCAGATATCACTGCATTGTTTGAAAGTAATGCTGACCGTATCAAGATGAAGTAATAATAAGAAAAACAGCACTTCCTTAAAATTACACACAGATTCTGAGTCAGATACTGTTTTAAGGGCTTTATATTCAGCTCATTCGGTCCTCAGAACACCCTAATGAGGTAGGTACCAAACTCATTCCTAATTTGCAGGTTGGGAAACGGAGGCCAAGAGAGCCAGCTTCCCAAGGACACACAGTGGCAGTCACTGAACCACAACATAACTGAATTTGTGATAGCACTAGCTCTATAATCNTCCTCAGAACACCCTAATGAGGTAGGTACCAAACTCATTCCTAATTTGCAGGTTGGGAAACGGAGGCCAAGAGAGCCAGCTTCCCAAGGACACACAGTGGCAGTCACTGAACCACAACATAACTGAATTTGTGATAGCACTAGCTCTATAATCCTTAGTTTTAAGCATTTTGCCCAAACTGGGACACTGGACACTCACCTGCCTCACAATTTTCAGGCACGATCCCTTTATACAGATGCTGGCTGAAGGAAATCCTTACATCTTCTCCCTCCATGTGAATGACCAAGAGACCAGTGGTTGTCCTGGCTGGGACCCCCTGATCCACAGCTTTTAACTGCAGCCAGATAGGAAAATATTCTGAAGATGGAATTTGCTGAAGTTGAATTGCTCCTGTGTATTCATTAATAGAAAACATTGACTGGGGCTCTGAAAAGCTGAACATGACGGTACCATTGGGCCCTGAGTCTGGGTCACTGGCTCTGAGGATGGCAGCTGTCTGGTTTGTAGGTGACTGAGAAGAAAGAAAAATATCAAGGGGGTTCTGTTCCCAAACTGGATCGTTGTCATTGACATCAGTGACATGTACTTTGATAAGCACCGTGGTGCTTCGTGAGCCGTGGACACCACAGTCTCTGGCCACAGCCTTAAACACGTGCTCAGACCTGGCTTCCCGGTCAAGGGCACGGCTGGTTCTCAGCGTGCCTGCCACGGGATCGATGGTGAACGCCCCGGAAGCCTCATGCACCAGAGAATACTTGGTTTGCCCGTTCGGGCCCTCATCCTTGTCCGCAGAGGAGAGCACGAGAACCGTGGTTCCCACCTGAGCGTCCTCTCTCACAGAAGCCTGGTACCGGAGCCTAGGGAAGGAAGGGCTGTGGTCATTGTCGTCCAGAACTCTGACCTGCAGCTGCGCCGTGGAGCTTTGCGGTGGGCTCCCCAGATCGGCACACAGGATGACAAGGGTGAAGTTGCTGACTTCCTCCCGGTCCAAAGCGCGAGCGGTTGAGAGTTCTCCGGACACTTCATTAATAGCAAAGTACTCATCAATATTTCCATCTAATAAAGAAAGCAAGTTCAAAATATATTTGAATTGAAAAAGTAGCAGCTCTTTAGTATGAATATATATATTTATCCAACAAATATTTATGTCCTGATTATTACAGTACACCATCATTTTTGTAAGTACATGATCAAGTCCCTACCCTCACAAAGCTTCCTGATAATAATACTCAGGGGATAAGCAAAAAATAAAATTCAACATCTATCTTAATTCAATCAGTAATTCAAACACTTGCTTTGACTGATTTGCAGCAGTGTGATTTTTTCAACTTCAACTTTTTATAGTAATATGCTTTTCCTTTTCAAAGGATTAAAATGCATATTTTACTTGAAATAAAACAATAGTAGGCAGAGCAACAGGATTCAATGTCCATTTGTAGATGGCAATCAGAAATTAGATTGATTTATAACAACATATTTTTAATTTCCCCCTTACTCACTATAGATTGAATGCTGGTTATATTACTGGAATAAGGTCCTTTTCTACATTCCATGGCCCTTTGTGCATGAACCATAACACTTCTTTCAGAGACAGTAGAACACTTGTCTATCTCTTCCATAACATAAGCAAGGATTATGTTTTATTCTTTAAAATATGTCCCTTTTGCTATTGTACATGGTACAAAGTAGAATAAAATTTAAAAGTAAAAGTGAAAATTGCTCAGTTGTGTCTGACTCTTTGTGAATCCATGGACTTATACAGCCCATGGAATTCTCCAGGCCAGAATGCTGGAGTGGGTAGCCGTTCTCTTCTCCAGGAAATCTTCCCAACCCAGAGATCAAACCCAGGTCTCTCGCATTGCAGGCGGATTCTTTACCAGCTGAGCCACAAGGGAAGCCCTTTATGCAAGACAGCAGAAGAGACACAGATGTAAAGAGCAGACTGTTGGACTCTGTGGGAGAAGGTGAGGGCGGGATGATTTGAGAGAATAGCAGTGAAACATGTATATTACCATATATGAAACAGATCACCAGTCCAGGTTGGATGCATGAGACAGGGTGCTCAGGGCTGGTGCACTGGGATGACCCAGAGGGATGGGATGGGGAGGGGGGTGGGAGGGGGGTTCAGGATGGGGAACACATATACACCCATGGCTGATTCATGTCAATGTATGGCAAAACCACTACAATATTGTAAAGTAATTAGCCTCCAATTGAAATAAATTAATTACTTAAAAAAACACTATTAACTCAGCGATAAAAAGCTTCCAAAGGCATTTTAAAGTCAACCTGAAGATTAGTTGGGAAAATGAAGTTCAGTGACCTACCAGCCACATTCTTGGACAAGTGGGGACCATTCCCAACAGCATGAGGACTTACTGAACCCTGCAGAGGCACATGGAGGAAGTGGAGCAGTGCTGAAAAAACAGCAGCCTCAAGCAGGAGTGGGGGCTGAGGAGCAGGGACTGCATTTGAAGGCCTTCATGAGACATGTTAATTTGTACCAAACACAGGTGATGAGACAAGTTACATTTCTCTGGCATGTGTGATTGATAAAGCCATTCATTCCCCCAGTAAACATTTTAACAACACCTGTCATGTACCAAATATGTGTTGGGACACTGGGCATATGAGGAGAGGAAGATGTGACTCTGACTTCAATGAGTTTACAGTCCAGAAGGAAAGGCACGTCTGTACCTGGACATCAAAGTACGGTGTGAAACTCACATGTGCAGGACACTGGGAGGCACAGAAGATGAGCACAGGGTCCTGCATTAGGATGGCAGAAAATGCTTATTGGAAACAGTGACACCAAACTAACTCCTAAAGGGAAGGAAGCCAGTCTACAAGTCTTAGGGGAGAGAGGGAAGAGGGTCAAACCTGGGTGAAGTCCCAGGAATATGACAAATCAATGGTTGCAAACATTTTGGTATGACTAGAATAGAGGGTCCCCTGGGTATTTGAGGGTAGAATGTAGGAAGAAAGAGGATTGACAGTGGCAAGAACATAAATCTGGAAGATAAGCAGGATATCCAATCATGAATTGCCCTGTATACACTGCCAAGATGCTGGGCTTTATCTTAAAATCTACCAGGAGCCCCTGCAAGATTTTAGACAGGAAGACACTGTGAATAACATTTCTGTTTTAGGAAGAATCCTGGGCAGCAGTGTCAGAGCTTTTAGACTAGTGGAAGATAGGAGACTATCAGTGTCTGTGAGAGCAACAAGGAGGTTCTGGAAAGATATGCACCTAGAAGTGGGTGCATTCCAAAGAGACAGAGAGGGGAAAAAAGCAGTAAGGAAGGTAAGCCTCATGGTCTGGCTTAGGAGAAAGACTGAAGGGTGTGTACACCAGTTGTGTTTAAAATGAGGTCTGAGGACCCTGGGGTGATATAAAACTAAGTAAGGAGTATCTGGAAACACTTAAGTTTTAGGGCAATATCCAGAAGTTTAGTTTACACATCCTTATTTCAAAAACGGCTCTGCCTGAGAAAACCCATAGGATCACAAGGGTTTGTCTTTCCCAAAATCACTTTATAATTACCCTTCTTGCAAATTATAAAAGAAAGGTTCACTTCTCACCCCTCCCAACCTGATCAAGGTGTACCAGACCAAGGTGTGAAAGTTTCTAGGCTGCCAGGTAAAGAGGCATTCCCAATATTGGTATTTCACATTGAAACAAGAACTGACTTGAATGCCTGGGGGGATATATCATTTTTTTTGGAGAGGACTTTTGCTATGAACTAAACTTTAGGGCCTGTTCTCAGCTGGTAAAGAATCTGTCTGCGATGCAGGAGACCCTGGTTCAATTCCTGGGTTGGGAAGTTCCACTGGAGAAGGGATAGGCTACCCACTCCAGTATTCTTTGGGCTTCTCTGGTAGGTCAGACAGTAAAGAATCTGCCTGCAATGCGGGAGACTGGAGTTTGAGCCCTGGGTTAGGAAGATCCCCTGGAGAAGAGAATAGCTACCCATTTCCGTACTCTGACTTCTCCAGAACAGAGGAGCCTGGCAGGCTACAGTCCATGGGGTCACAAAGACCCCTCACGACTGAGCAACTTTCACTTTCAAGTTCCTAAGTAGTAGATAAATAGATAATAAAAGCCATTAATTGATTTGGGGATACATATCAGAAGGAGTTTAAGAAATGTTACTACTATAACAACAATCTGTCTACAATGTAAAAAAACGTGAACACGGATTTTCAGTGTTTACATCTGTAACAAGATTTTTTAACGGCATATTGAGCAAAAAAGGCTGATCCCTTGAAGAAATTCTAGAAAAAGCCAGATTACGATGAGGTGAATGAAAAGGGAGTGATGTTCAGTTTTTGACACAATGATAACGAGATGCTATTGGACATGAAGATTGGGTCCTTGAGGCTATCAGGAAAAAATGCTGAAACAATTTGAAATGGAAAGAAATAATAAGTGGATATTCTATGGTAAAAATAAAGATCATTGTGTGGCCTAGTCTGGTTTTGACATCAGAATTGTCCAGGTATTTTATCTTCATTGTCTTTCAGGCATTTTATCTCTGTAAATTGTTGAAAACTAAATACATAATGAAAATGGTTCAAGTTCACAGAAATCCAAATTAATTGTGTCCAGTGGAATGGCAATGATTACTGTCCTGTGGACAGAACTCTTCTGCATTTCAGAATCCCTTATTTTCTCTCTCTGTGTGTATGTGGTGTTTCTTGTATTTCTCCTTGAACCAATTTTAACATCTTTTTGGCTTGTTTATTAACTAATGAGTTGAATAAAAACCTTTGGAAGTTGTCAGTTTTATATTTGTATGAAATCCATTATTTTCCATTTAAAAATATATCCTTTGATAGAAAGTCATAGATAGTAAGGGTGGTACAGAGCAAAGCCTACAGTTCACCACAGGACATAAAATGTGGACAAAAATGCTATTTATTTTTAGTCACAGGTACTGATCCTGATTCTACTTTCTCATTGCAAAAAGAAAAAAAAGTATAAAATAAAAAAATATTAGAGGGTGGGATCAAGATGGTGGAGTGGGAAGACCCTGGGCTTACCTCCTCTTAGAAAGACAAAATTACATTGATATAAAAAGAAATTCTCTCTTAAATTGACATGAAGTCTAGCAGACTTGCTCTTCTAAAACCAAGATTATAAAGGAAGAACCACAAGGACTCTGGTATTAGGGAAGAAGAAGAAGAAGTCCTGTCAGGACCCACCCTTGGTGGCTAACACAGAATAAGATTTACAGGCTCAGGGATCTCTCCTGAGGGATTTGAGTCCCATATAGGACATGCCAGTCTGGATATAAGCACGGGAATATGAGCCCTTTTCGGTAGTCTGAAAACCAGTGGGGCTTAATGGAGGCCTGGGGAAACTGAGACTCTGTTTGAGGACTGTTGACACCCTTGTTTGCTCCCAGTCCTGGCACAGTGGCAACCGGCCTGGTGCTCCGGCCAGCCCACCGTGCTCGCTGCATACACCTCACCCCGTCTGAGATGGGTTCCGATCAGCCCGCCATGACCGCTCCATACACCTCGCCCAGACCGAGATGGGCTCTGACCAGCCAGCCCACCGTGACCACTCCATACACTTCGCCCCATCTGAGACGGGCTCTGACCAGCTCACCGTGACTGCTGCATGCACCTCGCCCCATCTGAAATGAGCTCTGACCTCAGCCCACCGTGACGGCTCCATGCACCTCGCCTCGTCCGAGACGGGCTCTGACCAGCCCACCGTGACCACTGCATGCACCTCGCCCCGTCTCAGACGGGCTCTGCCCTCAGCCCTCCTGCTCCAGCACACCTCACCCCGTCTGAGACGGGCTCCGACCAGCCCACCGTGACTGCTCCATACACCTCGCCCAGTCTGAGACGGGCTCTCACCTCGCTCCAGCACACCTCGCCCCGTCTGAGACGCGCTCTCACCTCAGCCCTCCTGCTCCAGCACACCTTGCCCCGTCTGAGATGTGCTCTGAACTCAGCCCTCCTGTTCCCGCCCCACTCTGACAATGCAGAATCTCCAGTGTACCTTGGAAAATCCAGGGCTTGCTCCAGGCTCCTATTCTAAC